GAATCTGGTGGAAGAATGCAAAATGGCAGCCTGAGTGCTGGAGAGCTGGAGGGTCCAGCCAGGTCGCCAGCATGGACAGAGCCTCACCTCAGAGTCTGGTGCAGGTGTATTTAAGAAATGTGAAGGGTCTGAGTGGAAGTCTAAAGAATCTGCTCTGGAAAGCTGAAGGAACTGGAGCAGATCAACCAAAGCCTATGGTGAAGATCAAAGCTGCTCTACAGAAGAAAATGGAAGACTGTTTTCTCTGTTTTCTTTTTACAGTTCTTGTTAGTGTAGGTAGGCAGTACAGAACAATTACATTCATTTCTGAGCACTGGTACTTGTATGTAACACAGCTCAGTTCTTTCTATTCCCCTCCACTCACAGTTTAATTTTTTTGCCCACATTGGATTTGTTTGTGTCTCTATCAAGTTAATTATCATAATCACAGAATAATAGCCAGACTAACAGGCCCAAAAACCATTTGAACCACAGAAAACAATTATGCTAAATGAGGGTGAGCTTCTAGATGCGTTGAGCATGCTGGGCTCCAGTAACTTCCCCTGTCTGTGTTCCTGTTGTCCATCTCTTATTTTGAACTTTATATATTGTGTTTCTCATGTAAGAGAAACCACGTGCTGCTTAAGCCTCAGTCTGATTTACTTCACAGTCAGGTCTGCAGGTGCACCCATTTTGCTACAGATGACTGAAGTGTATCCTTCCGTATGGCATAGCAGTACTTTGTTGTGTATAAATATCTTCTTTTGCTTTTTATTCCATCGGTTTCAAGCCTATTGGCTGGTGGCAACCACAGTTGTGGTGAGTCTTCCTACAGGAGAACGAGCCACAGACACACCCAGAACTGCTCTAGTCATCCCCTAGGAGGTTCTCAATCCCTTTACACTGACATGTCACAATTAACTATCGCACTACATCCTCAACTTTCTTCATTTTTCATTTGTGACAGAGCCCAGCACGCTGGGGACATCTGTGTGCTGAGTGCCGTGTGTCTGTCCAGGCGTCCTGGGCACAGGGAGAGCAGGTCAGCAGTCAAGGCCCTCAGGAGCCTCCATGAGCAACAACACCAGGGAGCAGTGCAGCACCTGGGAGAAACCACTGTGGCCTGGAGATAGAGTCCCGGGAGGAGAGGAGGCCGCCTCCGCTGGGGGTCGGGTGCGCCTCTGTCACCTGCGGGCCGCTGGCCTGGGAGGACTGCGTGCAGAGGCCAAGGGGGATGAAGGCAGTGCCCAGGGCTGTGATCCTCCTTTCTGTGAGTCAGGCCCTGCCACCAAGGGTCCCTTGCATCCTGTTCCTGGGAGTTGGAATTGGCCTGGCCCTCGGGGCAGATGTGGCTCTTCTGCATGTATAACTGCAGCTCGTCAGGAAGTAAGTGTCCCTTGAGACGGACACTCTTAACTTCCTCTGTGCTGTACTCAGGAGAGACAGCGGTCACCTGCCTGGGCATTCGTCCTCCATTTGGCCTTGAACTTGGTAGAGGCTTCTAATCCTCTAGTTAAAAAAAAAAAAAAGGAAATCCTTTAGCAGAAACCTTTATTGAACGTTAAATCTAACTCAAAACTCTGTTTTAAAATGAAGTCAGCTACGGCAAAGCTGCTAGGGTGGCCAGGAGCCGGGGGGAGTAAGTGGTGTTCTTTTGTGAATGTGAGGGTGTGGGTTTGGGTAGTGACGTGTGTGCAAACCTGGTGCCAAGACCCGCGGATCTGTGCAGGGGCCCTCTGCCTGCTGATGTCTGAGTTCGGGTTGCAGGGCTTCTGAACTCAGCCCAGAGCAGAAGTCTGTGTTCCCTGGGAGTGCTGGTTCTCGTCTGGAGCCTTTTCCCCCTTGGCTGCAGAGTGCTGGGTGATGGTTGTGGTGGGGTGAAGCATGTCCCTTGTGTCCCCCAACCTCCTCTTCTTAAAATTTTGTGACAGGGTCTTGTTAAATCACTAAGCGGCCCAAGCTGGGTTTAAATTTGCAATACTGCTACCTCAGCCTCCCAGAGTGGTGGTATTACAGGTGTGCTCCAGCACACCCAGCTTTCTGTGCATGGTTTTGCAAATGTGCTGATTTCTGCATCTCACAGGTCCAAGTGGTTTCCTCTTTGAAGGTCAAAGGCAGTATCTTCTCTCCATGCTCAGAAGCAGGACCCAGGTGGACCCCAGGTTGGAGGATCCTGACATGGAGTACATGCTGGGAAAGGTGGGGTTGAGAGGCTTGTGGGTGCAGATACCTGTGGGTGTCTGGGTCCACAGGGGGGATGATGTCTGTTTGGGGAGGGGTCTCAGGCCAGTGTGGGGCCCTGGAAGGTATAGGAGTATCAAGGAGTCACTGGGCCATGGAGGGGCCAGGCAGCCGCCCTGGCCTCTGCTAGGGGGAGTGCGGAGGGCTTCACAGCTGGCACCAGGCCCCTGACTCCAGCGACTTGTCTGAGGTTCTGGGATGGGGAAGGGAGCTGTGTTGGGGCCAGGCAGCTTGGGGCGCTACACGGGGGCTGCAGGACAAGGGAGTGAACAGGGGGAGCCACACTTAATCCCAGTTGAAGGCTGAGGCTGGGGATCACAAACTCAGGTCCAGCCTGTACCACTTGGTCAGTTCAAGGCCACCCAGACTACTTACAAACTCTGAATCTACTTACAGACTTTACCTATGAACTGCCATCTTTACTTTATTTGAAATATTTTAAATGTATTTCACATAAACAATTTTTAAAATTTTATATTTGTTCTTTTGAAACAGGGTTTGGCTACATTACTTAGTGTAGGCCTCCCAGAAAGCTCAAATCTTCTGCCAATTTTAAGCTGCAAAGCAGCATGAGGTCTTACTCTGAAAGTAACTCCTTCTGCATGGCAGGCTGGAGTTGGAGAAGAGATCCAGTCCAGCACCTGCCCTGTTGGAGAGTGTTTAATTAGAAGCCATTTTGAGAAGAGGTTATTCAAGCCTAAAATACAACATAACTTTAGTTTCTGGTGTCACCCTACCACATGTAGGAATTTTTAAAAATGTATGTGTTCCTTTCTTTTTTTCCCATTGATTTTGTGGTATGTAGGATTTTCCTCTTTTTTCCTTTCCCTTTTAAAATTTGTACCTTTTTCCTACCTTTTTCTTTATTTTCCTGGTTTTTTCCTTTTCTTCTTTTTTGTTCCATTCTGTTGCTTTTATGTAAACCTATTAGTTTTCTTTTACATCTTAATAAGTCCTCTACCTACTACTGTAACTGGGTGGGAAACTGTGGTGGATTAACTGATAGTCAGCTTGTAACCCCCAGCTGAACTGAGTGAGCATGGTTCTGGGCATGGAAGGCCCACCTGAGGAGTGTTGCCAGCAGCATGAAAGGAGAACTGGAGGGAAGATGGTGTGCTGTTGGTTTTCCTGGAGAAGCTCGTCACACTGGTTCTCCTGATATGAACTCAGCTGTTCACATCATCAGAGAAGCTCCGGTCCCTACTGTTGCTGAGGGGGGCTGTGGTTCTCTTTGGGGGAGCTCTGGTCCTTACCTTGAGTGTTGCTTCCTGGTTCCAGTGCAGGTCTCTCAGCCTGCTGGCACAGATCCTTCATCTCACTGGCGCAGACTTTGCAGCTTTCACCACTGACCTTTGGGCCTTCCCAGTGCAGATCCTTAGCATAGACTTGCATAAGACATTGTCACGGACTCTCGGCCTCCAGCTGGATTTGTGGAGGACATTGCTGTGGACTGTAGGTCTTCTGCTAGACTCATGCAAGATATTGCCATGGGCTCCAGGACCTCAGCCAGATTCTTTGGCTCTCTAATGCACGGGCAAATCTCTTGTTCTCTTCTGCATTGGACTTTTTTGGTGGATATTATAAAATAATCCTATAAATTATGTGTCCTGTATTAAATCTGTTCTCTTGCAAACTCTGACTACAACAGAGATGAACACAAGAGACAGTCATGGAGACAGCATGAGAAAGACATAGACTCCCCTGAGAAGTTTATGCTCAGGCCAGCAAGGACATGGGTGCCCCAACCTACTTGGTGAGAGGCCAGGCTGATCATGTGTGGCTCTGACGTGGCTGGGTCTGAAACTGCAGGCTAAGCCCAGTGGTCTGCATGACCCTTCATGCACAGCTGCCTGCAAGCAGCACAGAAATCAGGGGACTGGTACTGTCCCATCTACCAATGTGAGTGAGGATACACCTACGCGTCTACCACTGCCAGTCTGCTGTGTATAGACAGATTGCCTCTGGAGAGAGGTTGGTGCCTCACAAAGCCACGGGCCAGAGAGCGAGGCTGAGAACGCCGTGACTTGGGGTCTAAAGAGGAACACGAACGCTGGTAGCCATCAGTGACTACAACCCTAGGGCAGAAGCCATTGCTGACCCAACCTTGTGGGAAAGACGGGGCCGGGTTTCGCACTGACACACAGAAGTGTGAGTGAAGTAACAAAGCAGTTCTCAGTAGTGACACACAACCCTTCCCTCGTATCTGGGTGGCTCTGTAGTGTAGGCCTAGGAAAGGAACCACTCAAACAAAGACATGGAGGGATTTTTTAAAGAACAAACTTGATTCTGTTTTTCCGATTGATTTTTGTGGTATATAAAGTTTTCTCTTCATTTCCTTCTCTTTTAAATTTTGTACTTTTTCTTCTACTTTTTTTCCCAGTCTTCATTTTGCTGAACTTTTCTTTTTCTTCTTTTTTCCTTTCTGTTGCTTTTATCTAAACCTATTAATTTCCTGTTACTTCTTAATAGGGTCCCTTAAGCTCACACTCCACTCTTTCTTCCCATGTTCCTTTTTATTTTTCAAAAATTGCCCCATTCATTCTCCTATTCTCCACCCCTTCATCTTTACTGTTATTACTGTGAGGTCTTACAAGTTTTACATATTTAGTTAACTCTACGCTATAGTTGCTGAATTATTTTCTATTGCTCATGGTTCTTAGTTTTTAAATTTAGCAGATTTTACTGTATGTCAGTGTTTGCTAAATTATCTTTATTGTCAAAGGATCACCAAAAAATTAGAGATAATGAAGGCCAAACTTTATAATTAGTCATCCTTTTCCTTTTATAAAATACTAACTTTATTGAAATTTAATTCACATAACATACAATTCATCAATTAAAGTAACCAATTTAATAGTTTTTACTACCTTCACACAATTGGACAGCCATCATCAAAAGCAATCTGATAACTTCATCATTCCCCAAAGAAAGGCTGCACCACTTAGTCATCACTGGAACCTTCAATCTCCCCCAAAACACCGGGGAAATATACTCTACATTGGGCCCCCTGGATTTGCCTCAGCTGGGAAATTTCAGAGGATTGGGATCTTACACCACTCAGCGCTCTGCATTTGGCTTCCCTCACTCACATAACAGTTTCAAAGCTCATGTTGCAGCTTGCACTAGTCCTTCTTTCTTACCCTCAAATACCATTTAATTCATGGGTAGAGCGCGTTTATTTAATCCATGTATCACTTCCTGTGTACTGAATCCTCACCTGTCCCTTAGTCAACACAGGAACCAAGAACCAGCGAGGATCGGGCTGCTGTCTGGAGGCCTGGCTCAGATGGGGCTGTGCTGCGGCCCCGGGGAGAGTGCTGGTCCCAGGAGACTCCCACAGCCGCTTTGAGCCCAGGGCCCGGGTCTCAAGCTGGGTGCGGTATTTCTCTCAGGTGTCAGCAGGATGAGGTAGCACTTGGGGAGGAAGATGCCACCCAGCAGTCCTGCAGTGGAGGCCAGGATGGAGAAGACCTCCACAGCTGCCGTGGCCTTGCCCCGTGCACTGTGGTACAGGGGCAGGAAGGCTGTCCAGACGCTGCAGAAGAGCAGCATGCTGAAGGTGAGGAACCTGGTCTCATTGAAGGCATCGGGCAGGCCCCGCGCCAGGAAGGCCGCAGAGAAGGTTCCTGTGGCCAGGAGGCCCAGGTAGCCCAGCACGCAGGAGAAGGCGACACCAGAGCCCTCCTGACACTGGAGCACAAGGCGGCCAGGCTCCGACGCTGCGTCCCTGTGGGGAAAGGGCGGGGAGGTGGCCAGCCACACCCCACAGAGAATGACCTGCGTCAGGGAGGAGACCAGGACCACAGAGGCGGCGGCACCGGGTCCTAGGCACACGCGGACCCTCTGTCCTGGCCTCGTGACCCTGAAGGCCATTACCACAGTGAGGGTCTTGGCAAGGACACAGGACACGGCCACAGTGAACACCACGGCAAAGGTGGTCTGGCGCAGGAGGCAGGTGGCGGGCGAGGGGCGGCCAAGGAACAGTAAGGGACTCAGGGCGCAGAGGGTCAGGGAGGCCAGGAGCACGTAGCTGAGGGCTCTGTTGTTGGCCCTGACCACGGGTGTGTGCCGGAACCTCAGGAACACCCCGAGGATCAGGCATGCCAGGCTGGCCAGTGTCAGTGCCATCAAGGTCATCGCAAGGCCCAGGGGCTCGTCAAAGGTCAGGAAGGTCTCTGTCCTGGGAAGGCAGCGGTCTCTGGCCTGGCTTGGGTACTGCTCTGCAGGGCACAGAAGGCAGCTCTTCATGTCTGTGGAGACACACAGATCCCGTGCTGGGTATGCCCCTTGCACAAGAGCAGCTCTGGAAGGGTCCCTTTGCACAGGCTCCTGGGACAGCTGTGGTTACTCCATATCTATGGGTTATTCTTAGTCACTCCTAAAGTGAGGATGGCATTAGAGTCAGAGGCAGTAAGAAAAATGAAAACCATATTTATTTGTGTGGTTTTTAAGTAATGTTTTGTTTTGTTTTTATCCAAGAGATTGAACTCAAGGCCTTTGTGCTTTGCTATTTTCTCAGCCCATTTATTAGATTTTATTTTGACACAGAGTCTCCCTAAGTCATTGTGTTGACTAGGCTAGGCTGGAAGTTGTGGTCCTTGCTTTATACAAGTGTTTTGGCCTGCATTATAACTCTCAAAACTCATTTGTTGAAGTCATGATCTCCAGAACATAAGAAGGTGTTTGTAAATGCAGATAGGAAAATGGGACATGAGCTAATTAAGGTTCAGTGAAGTCACTGGGTTTAGCCCAAACCAACATGGCTGGAGTACTCAGAAGCAGAAGGGACTAGGACACCAGAAAGACATGAGTGGTCATAGTAGGGTGGTGACCACCTGGAAGTCCAGGAGAGAGGACTCAATAAACCCACCCTACTGACACAAAGATCTCAGACTTCTACCTCCAGAGCTGGGAGGAAATGCATTTCTGTGGCATAAGAGTCCTGGATTGTGAGATGAATTACCACACAATCAGGGGAGTGCGTGTCACACAAACAGGAAGCAGAAGAGATCTTGAGATGCACAAGGATCTCGCTGAGCCCTCCATGGATAGAAGGCCTGAGGGTCACAACGTGGTGACCTGGGCAGGCGGAGATGAGCGTGCACACGAGGGGAGGGTTCCTTAGATTCCAGCATCTCCAGCATGGCTGTCTATGGGCAGCAGATCAGGACACATTTCCTAAGTATAACTGTGAGAGTGGAATTTTAGCCAGTGAAAGTTCCCAGAGAACGGAGGCCCTATAGTACCCCATGTGAGTGGGGGTCAGAATGCAGCTACCCACTCACCTCTCTGGTCTGCAAACTGTCCCTCCGGGCAGAGCCGGCACTCAAAGCAGCAGTGGGGGGCTCCCTCTTGGGGGATCTGGCTGGATCCTGGTTCACAGCTGGTGCTGCAGACAGAGCTGGGCACCTGGGGACGATGTGCAGGCATCAGTAGAGACCCTGTGTGCTCAGGGCCCAGAGAAATCCTGACCTAGCAGAGAGCAGGGTGGTGTCCTTCTCCCTGCACCAGGCAGTATACAGGGGAAATGTCCTCTCTGACTCAGGATCCACACACAGAGGGCCTACACACAAAGGGACTGAGTACCTGGTCCGGAGGGTCCTCATGGCTCCCTGGGGTGATGACATTCAGCAAATCCTGTACACAGGACCCTTCCCATTGCTCTTGCAAAGTCTCCCACATCACAGTTGGACCTGCACAGCCATGGTTCTCCCTCTTCTGCCCAGGTCCCACCTTCGGGGAGTAGCATAGTGGAAGGACTGGGTGCAGACACGTGGGGAGAGGAGTGGGTGCTGTGTTCCTCAGAAGGAAGTGGGAAGCTGGGAGTAGCCGTGCGTGCTTGTAATCCCAGCACTCACTAGGCTGAGGAAGGAGGGTTGTCACGAGTTCGAGGCCAACCCAGGCTACATAGTGAGTTCAAGGCCAACCTAGACTACAGAGTGAGACCTTGTCTCAACACCCACCCCCCAGAAGAGGAAATGGGAACCCCAACTCACACCCACAGAGGAGCCCACAGGTTCACTGAAAATGCAGCTGTACTCCTGTAGGAAGGAGTCAAGGATGGAACCCTCATCACCTAGGAAAACCTAGGGCACCATGATGGAGATGCCACAGGGAAAGAGCTAGCCCAAGCTGAAGAGGAGGTGACTAGAGTGGGTCCTGGGCCACAGCAGCCTGGACACCAACACCAACAGTGGGAACATAGGACACTGAGTCATGGGAGAAGCCTGCTCTGCCTCTCAGCGCTGCCTGGGACAGGCGAGGAGGTAGAGCTGTGGCCTCCAAGGTCCCCATGAGTCTGACCGAGACAGAGGTGGAGAAAAGCATCAAAGCTTGCTGCTGCCCTAATTCAGTTAACCTGTGCAGCTCTCATACTTTTTCTTTTCTCTCTCTCTCTTTTTTTCTTTTCTTTTCTTTTCTTTTCTTTTCTTTTCTTTTCTTTTCTTTTCTTTTCTTTTCTTTTCTTTTC